CATGACAAGAGGCATTGCCCAGGCCAACCACTACAGCATGATGCGGATATAACCGTGGACCAATGATGTACAAGACATCTATCTTAATATTCATTTACTTGTAATGTTGTACTAAATTGTAAGCTTGTTTGAATTTTCATTACCCCGTTGTTTAAAACACTCTGTTTAATTTTCATTGCCCCGTTATTCACTTAAAATTTTCTCCTTGTCGATACGATTGCGTAGCCGCAAACGGCTCGTTATTTCGACGCCAAACGAATAAGATACGTTCGTTTTAGTTTTAGGTACGCAAAAATTACTCTAACGACATGTGCAGCTTTGAACTAACTTATCTCACTCGTTTTAACTCGGAATTTGAGATCTGAAAAATTCTACATGATCGTGATTGATTTTCCCAAGTTTTTTCTGTTGAGCTTAGATACTAATTCCTGATAAATTTATGCAAAAAAATAAAACAAAAAATGTCATCAATAAAGTGTTTCAATGACAACTTAAGTGCGTAGGATAGTTTTTAGACAATGCAAACTCAAATCACAAGACCTAAAAATTTTTAAAACAATATGGATAACTCAACGACAATGCAAACTCAAACTCAAATCACTGGTTTTCTTCATTTGGTTGCCCCTCATTTTGGCCCTCTGCTCGCCCTCCTCCTCGTCCTCCACGACGTCCTCGACCCCTTCTTCCACCTCCTCCTTCTCCTTCTTGGCGGGCTTGCTCAACGACTTGTCGCGGATTTCTCTTAACCCGAGCCCCTACTGGAGTTACAAGTGGCGGTGGAGGGGGCTGAGATGGACCGGTAGCCTGCTGGTAGATCGGGCGGTGAGGGGTTTGTTGATGCGGGGTGTGATACATCGAACTCTGTTGCTGATGGTGGAAATGGGCAAAGTTTTGTTCACTCTGAGATGAACCTCCAGCGACATCCGATGCAGGTGCCCACTCGTACTCAAATGGTTCAGGGAGCTCGGTTTTTTGAGTTGTACGCACCTCTTCGAAAGTAGGGAAAGGCCTGCGTTTGTTCCTTCGTGGGGGCTCAACCGGGGGCACAATGGGCTCACCATCACGGAATGATGGGCGTGCCGGAGCGGGAATGGGAGGATAGGCCACGATATCCCTTCTTTGCTCTCGAGTACAACTCAAGAGGTTGTTCATAAGCCTTCGAAACCAAGAAGTTTTCGGCTCATCCATGCTTGGAGCACTATCGAGGGTGTGTTTGGCGTGTTCCAAACCATCAACCTAAGCAATCCACATAATAAAACAAAATTAATTAAAACTCAAAACAAAATAATTAGAGTCACACGGGAGATTAGGATGACTTACCAACGAACCCATCACAGCACCTTGCTTTGACACCCATCGATTGGTGAACTTCCGATACCACTGCATGTATCCATCGTGGTAGCCCATCGGTCTAGCCTCTGGCATCCCTTGGACCAACCATGTCCTTCTATTCTCCCATATGTTGATGTAGTACTGATGCTTTATGATCCAATTCTTTGAGGCGTATCGGAGGTCGATGGCATGTAGGTCTCTGAAACCCTGAGGCGGGGTTTGTGGAATTGGTTGCTCCATTCGATATTGCCTCAAGGATCGATCAGGTAGGTGCCACTCCACGATGTGCCAACAGATCAATGGCACCTTGCACAACCACGTCTCGTGATCCAGAGGGTTTCTAAAATGATGCAGTTCGACCACTTCACGTGGATATGGATCCCAAGTAACCTATATTCATTCAAATAATGCAATTAGCGACCATTTACCTTGAAAAATTGAAACTTGTTAAAATATGATAAAGCATGATTACCTAATTCCACCAAGGCTTATCTAACTCAGAACGATAAAACAATAACGAATGCTCAGGTTGATGGTCATTCATATTTGCTCCTATCCACCTTGTAATTAAAAGCATGGAATAAATTGAAATTAGGCTAAGTACGGATTAAATTCAATTTAAATCTAGCTAAGCATGGTATAAATGGAAATTAGGCTAAGTACGGATTAAATTCAATTTAAATCTAGCTAAGCATGGTATAATTTAAAATTAGGCTAAGTACGGAATAAATTCAATTGAAATCTAGCTAATCATGGAATAATTTTAAATTAAGCTAAGTATGGAATAAATTCAATTGAAATCTAGCTAATCATGGAATAATTTTAAATTAAGCTAAGTACGGAATAAACTTACTTGACACCGTAAGGGGGATATTGCAGAAAGTTTAGCTCATCATCGGCTCTCCGGTATGGACGTGGGTCTTGAGGTGCGAACATTGGAAGATGCTCCCATACCCACAGCTGTAGGATGAACATCGCAGCACCAGCTTGTTTTGCTCCCACCTTCGAGCAAGTGCACAACTCCCAGTATATGCCAGCTAACACAGCCGATCCCCAGCTCTTTTCCCCGATTGCATCCCAGTCACCAGTGAGCAATGACAACCATATGCCTTGAATCCACCGGTTTGACTTGTCGAGGAACAAAAATCCACCCACCAGACCAATGAGGTAGATGCGTGCATAGCGCTCCACTTGATCTTCCGGAGTCTCGTCATTGATTTGCACCTCATTCTGGATGTGAGCTACCAGCCACGGGACCGACACTTGTCCCACATTCAACGGTGGATGGCCCCGTCCTTGAATTGGTGTGGTGGTCGGCATGTCGAATCCCAACTCAGCAAGAATGAGCGGCCCCCAACCTCCTTCAGGTTTGGTAGTGGGCCCAATGATGGCATCTCCAGTAATCGGCAGCCCGGTGAGGATCACCACGTCTTTGAGAATGATCGTCATTTCCCCCTCCGGAAGGTGGAACGTATGGGTTTTGGGACGCCATCGCTCCGCCATTGCCGTAACCAGATCGTTGTCGATCCGCATGAAATGGCACAACATACCCAACCCGGTCCTCTCTATATAGGGCGCCAACCATGGATGCTAAGGGGGCAAGTTTGTGGTCCCTTTATGAACGACGGGAATAAGTGATTCCTTCAAAAAAAATAGGAAAACATCAATTTGTTAGTTTAAATAAAGCAAAATAAAACCTTAGAAAATAATAAAATAAAGCAAATAAATCATAAAATTACCGGATTGTTATCCCAAATAGCACGGGAGCGATGAGCTTCTTGATCGGTAGACTCTTAAGGCCCATAATGGATTGGATATACAATCGAGGATCGTATATCTCGGCACCCATCTATAAAAAAAGTAATCAAATCAGAGATTGTTTTGATAAAAAAATCACAAAATCAAATTGTTACGATTAAAAATAAGAACACAAAAAAAACCTACACGAAGAGCCTCTTCGTCCATTTTTTGGCAGAAGCCGGACAGAGGTTCGACGGGTTCAGGTTTGTAAGGGACGGGACCTTAGCGGGACGGGGGCTTTAGGGTCAAACTCTAGTAATTCTTTCTGATGTGGAAGATCGGATTTATCCGCAACCACAAAGCATACTTAGAACGAGACTAGAGCGGATAAATTGTGGGAGAAAGAAGTGAAATGGTTGTGGTGTGAGTTGTAAGTGGGGGGGGGGGGGGGGGGGAGGGTCTATTTATAGTTGGGGGAAGGGATCTGCCGAATGAAACTGGGGAGCATTCACCGCCTCAGTCAGAAACGGTGAAGTGACCGCGTTTCTCGAGGACGGTGAATGGCGCGGATCGAGTGACGGGGCTTAACGTGAGGCATCGGATCTGGGAAGAAAACCATAATCCGCGCCTCACCGCATCCAACGGCCACGGTGAACGCGGCAGCGACGCGGATCGCTGACGCAAACAAACACGGGGTATTCACCGTGTTTGTTTAACGCGGTGAATACACCGTGTTTGTTTAACGCGGTGAATACACCGCGTTGTCCACGTCAGCGATCCGCTTCGCTTCATCGTGGCCAATCAAAGCGGTTTAAATGTCACCGCTTTTAATTAAAACGGTGATTGATTCACCGTTTCCTTCTAAAACGGTGATTGCCTCGCTGGTTGTTCACCGTTTTAGATGAAGACGGTGAATACGTCACCGTTTTTTTTAAATGGTGAATTATTCACCGCGTTTGTCAAACACGGTGATTATATTCACTACGTTTGTCAAAAACGGTGAATGCCAAACATGTATATTTTGGGAAATTTTTTTATAACTTATGTATTTTGGGAATTTTTTTTAAGAACATGTGTACTTTGGGATTTTTTCTTTTGTTTGTATACAAAGGGAATGAATTGGATGAAAGATTGGAGTTCTGTAAGGCTTCTAACAAAAGGCGCAAAGTTAGTACGAAGTCACAAAATTATGTTTTGTAAAAACAACATTAGTTTTTCCTTGTTAGTTAGATAGACGTAGCTAGGCCTATTTAAGCTTTATATTTCGTTGTAAAACACATATTTTGATTAATCGAATTGAGAACTTTTGGTTTTTGTGCAAGTTGGGACTTGTGTTGAGTTTGGTGGATTCAATGCTCGTTGAGCTCTGTATCGATTGAATAGTCACTTCAATCGTGGTCGGGCATCTATCATTATACCAATCGAGCTTTTCCCCAGGTGTGGAATTGCATTTTTGGTTCCGTTTTATCCAAGTTCGTATTAAGAACGTTTTGTTCTTGATTCGAGCTCAATCAATCCTTCGATTGAGTCGTTAGCTGCGTGAGTTTGATAATATACACCCCCAGGGTCGTATTAAATGGTATCAGAGCCCTGTTCAACACAGGGGAAAGGAGAACATCGAGAGTCATTTTTCATTATGTGTTTCTTCGCAGTTAGCAAACAGAGTAGCAGCAGAGTGTTTTAATTCGTTGGAATCTCCAATTCGACGAGCAGAAGATGGGACCACAGCAAATCAACATCGAGGAATTGAAGAAAATGGTCACAGAAGCTTTCCAGCCCCAATTCGATTGGATACAGCTTGGGATCGACAAGCTGCAGATTGCCATAAATAACAGATTCTGCTTTCCTCCGGAAAAATAGAGGTCGTGTCTTGGAGCTGCCGCTGTGAAGGAATTTGGCGACGACAGCAGGAGGCTAGTCGATACTAGTCATTGGAAGGAGATGGAGAAGGCATTGACTGCCTTATTCCAAGCAACGATGGCCCAAGCACAACCAGCAGCCTCGGCCCTCGAAGTTCCAAAAGCATACCTCTGTTTAGATCTCGCAAGACAGAGTTCCGAGATGACTCTTGTGGCTGGAGCACTCGGAGGAGAGTCGAGACCGAACGAGAGTTTTGAAATGTTACCCATGTACCCATGAACGTCGGGCATAGCTTCAATGGAAGAGGGTATCTCCGAAATCCCAGAATCCATTATGGAAAGATCCCCTCTGTTACCGGCGACGAACAAAGCCGAGACCTCTTCAGTGCATAGAGCCATCCAACTGGATTCAAGCCCTGTCGCCGCCGTGAGCACATTACAAGAGGTTCTTAGGGTGATCCCGCAGGAGGATATCGAGCCAAAACTAGACAATTCGAAGAATCGTGATTTCGGTATTTCACTTCTGAAACCCGTGAACAGTGACATGAAAAGTTGCGAATTGGTCGGAGCAGCTCCCTTCTTCGGCCACGCAGTGACAAATAATCAAACACAAATCAGAATCAAAAGAAAACAAGAAGTTTTTTGACGTGGTATCGTCAATATGACAGTAGTCCACGGAGAGGATCTCCCTCTCAGGTTTTGTGCTTCTTATTTTCGTTAAACCTAATCATCAGACACAGTAGGATTTATATAGGTTTGCTACCACAAACCCTAACTACATAATTACATATTGGTACCTAATCTTAATATAATCAACATCCTCCCTCAAATTGATGTTGGATCTCAACATCAATTTGGAAGATAGATACCAATGTCTACTAGAGGACACAACCTTTGTTAACAAATTAGCAGTCTGTTCCTCTATTGCCAAATAACTCAGTTGTATAACTCCTTCATAAACTAGCTACATGATATAATGCACATGCACTTCTATGTGTTTCGTTCTATCATGTAAAACTGGATTGTTAGCTATATGGATAGCACTTGTGTTATTCCCATAGATGCGCATATGTTGTACACATTCTACGCCAAGTTCCTGGAACAGTCTCTACAGCCACACCATTTCAGAACTTACTTCGGACATCGAACAATACTCTGCCTCTGTAGAAGATTCTGACACTTTATCCTGTTTTCTGCACCGCCAGGAAACAAAGGCTCCTCCAAACCGAATGCACCAACCAGATGTTGATCTCCTAGTGTCCTGACATCCTGCAAAATCAGCATCTGCAAAGGCCTCAATCATCAGAGTTCTATCCCTGGGAAAGAATAGACCAACTTCGGTAGTCTAATTCAAGTATCGGAGAATTCTGTGAACAACATCTAGATGAGCAGTTCTCGCCACTCCCATAAACTGACTCACCACTTGCACTACATAGGATATATCTGGTCTAGTGTGCGTTAGATAGATCAATCTTCCCACCACACTGCGATAGTAAATCTGATCTTCCAACAACTCACCATTCCCCCTGTTAAGCTTCAAATTTTGTTCCATGGGTGTGCTACAGGGCCTGCAAGAATGATAATCAGTAGTAGTGAGCAGATCATTCATATATTTCTTCTGACTCACGAACAAACCTTCTTTCGACCTGTTAACCTCCAAGCCAAGGAAGTAAGACACTTCCCCAAGCTTTTTCAATTGAAATGTCGAATGTCATGACTTTGTTAATTCTCGAATACCATCACTGTCACTGCCCGTCACTATCATGTCATCAACATATAGCATCAGAACAATCATTCCATGAATAGTATAACGTATAGACATGGAAGGATCATTATGGCTCTGTAGAAAACCTGCTTGAAGAATAGTCTCATGAAATTTCTCAAACAATGTCCAAGGTGCCTGTTTCAGGCCATATAAAGATCGTCGGAGACGCAGAACCACATTTGGCCCTCCCTTGGAGTAACCTTCTGGGCACTCCATATAAATAGTTACCTTCAAGTCGCCATGCAGAAAGGAATTTTTGTCATCAAACTGAATAATCGGCCAGTCCCGCATAGCCGCCACTGCAAACAGGCTTCAAATAGTCAGCATTTTAGCTACCGGAGCAAACGTCTCATCAAAGTAGATCCCATATTCCTGTTTAAAACCTTTTGCCTCCACCCGAGCTTTGAAACGCTCAATGGAACCATCCGGATGCATCTTAGTTGCATACACCCAGTGACATCCAATAACTAACATACTAGGAATACGGGAACGACATCCCACGATAGCTGAGCCTCCAACGCATCGATTTCCTTATCCATCGCAGGATTCCACCGCAGATCATCTTTGGCGAAGCAGTAGTGAGTAGGAATGGAAATAGCATGATCCGCCGAATAGCCAACATCATAATCCAGCATATGTGGAGGAGGATGACCGAGAGTACAACGGTTTGAGTGTCGAGGAATGGGTAGGGGAGGCAGAGCTTCAACCTCCTGGATGGGTTCCAACGAAGCAGTAAAAGACCCGCTAGATGTTATAGTAGGACCCTGCGAAGAAGGGCTAGTGGAAGTAGAGTCACCACCTGAGGATGTCAAGGATGTCGTATGAAACGAAGGAGTAACAAGAGGTGTATTTAGAAGAGCATTCAGATCCACATCTGGAGGAACCACTGCGGCATCAGGAGGAGGATTAGCTGGACGAGAAAGTCAAGAGATGACAGGTCATTTGTCGAGGAAGCTTCATAATACATCACTTCTTCTAAAAAGGTGACATGGCACGAGATCCACATCCTACGCTCACTGGGACCATAGCACAAGTACCCCTTATGTTGATAACTATATTCGACGAAAACACACCGAGCCACCTTAGGCGAGAGCTTGTAACGTGCCTTCTTGGAGAGTAAGACAAAACATACACAACCAAATACGCGCAAGCGCGAATAGTTCGGAAGTTTAAAATTTAAGCAGTGATAGGGAGATTTATCGCCCAAGACCGAAGTGATTTTGAGATCAATCAAGTAGACTACAGTTCCCACAACTTCAACCCAAAAACTATTAGGCACATGGGAGTGAAACAGGATAGCACGAGTCAACTTAAGAACATGTCTGTGCTTGCGTTCCACTGGGCCATTCTGCTGAGAAACTCCCGGACAAGACTGCTGAGGAAGAATTCTGCGAGAAACATAGAACTCCAGAACTGGAGACGCAATAAACTCCCCACCAGGATCCGATCTGATAATCTCCACTCTTCGGCCAAACTGAGTCTCTACCATCTGAACAAATGATTTAGCATGGTCGACAAGCTCTGACTTCTAGCGTAAGAAGTAGATCCAGGTATATCAAGTGTGATGATCAACAAATAGTGCAAAGTATCGAAAGCCCATACGAGATGTGATCGGAGAAGGACCCCAAAGGTCCGTGTCACTCGCAGTGAAAGTAGATTGTGTTGCTTTAGCTTCAATGCAACTAACATAGTGATGAGAAGGATGGTATTTTGGATCAACTGATGCAGGCAATAAGTATCGGTGAAACATATGTAAGAGACGAGCAATATGCGGATGACCAATCCTGTAATGACATAAATCCATAAAGAAACTGATTTTAATGTCTTACAACCCCTTGAATCCAAATCCTTAACCTAAAAACCAAATAACTGAGAAGTATCCAAAACAAAATCCGGGACATCATTATTCAAAGACAAAGAACAACCCACTTTTGAATTCAAAGAACTATCACTACAGCCCAGCATCTTCACATCGCCACTCTCCCCTTGGGTTGGTCTAAGCTGGTCGAAGACATACACGCGGCCATCTTTCTTACCCGTTCCCAGAACCTTCCCAGTTTTCTGATCCTACACAACACATCCTTTATCATTAAACGTCACTACACACCCATCTTCTGCCAACTGTCCAACAGAGACTAGACTCGGAACCAGTTGAGGAACGTATAGTGTATTATCCAACTTAATATCACCCGAACACGCAGTCCCCATACCAGTAACCAGCAATTGAGCCCCATTTGTCACTTGTAACGATTTCATATGAGTCAGTTTTAAGAAAGTGAAACTCAAAACAGAATTAGTCATATGGTTAAAAGCCGCAGAATCAACCAACCAGCGAGGCGCGTTACCTGATATAGTAATGGCAACAAAACCAAAATTTAATAGTTCAGGAAGTGCGTCCTGCAAAGCTTCAGCAACCATACGACGAACATCGGCCGAAGTGAATAGAGAACCCGAGGAAGCAGGTGCTGCCGCAGGTGAGGTCACCGAAGTCGCCGTCGCCGAGGATTGAGCAGTGGGAGTGACGACATAGCTCAAACCTGATGCACCAGTAGCAGAAGGTTTGTGATTGGGCTGATAACCTCCCTTTTTTGCAAGAACTTTACAATCCATAATAACGTGTCCAGACTACTTGCAATAAATGCAAAGATTCCTACGTTTGCAATGAGGTTGGATATGACCAGGCTAATTACAAAAATGACATATCAGCTGACCAGGGTTGCGCTGTTGAAATTGGAGACGAGTAGACTAGCCCTTGCCAGCCGTGAAGGCAGCACCACCATCATGCGACCCATCCAGCTTCGCTTGACTACGTAGCCGGGTTTCTTCTCTGATTAATTCAGCTAGCGCCTCATCCATTATTCTAACCTGATGATGGAGAAGCGAAGCCTGAATAGGCTCAAATTCAGGACGAAGTTTGGCAAGAAATTGCATAAACCGGATACGAGAACACTCCTTAATAACTTCAGCAGAAGCAGCCGCAGAGACAAGGGATGTAGTAAGCATATCATATTCAGTCCATCGAGTCATCAAAGCCTAATAATAAAAGTGGATGTCACGATCACCTTGATGAAAAGAAGAGAGCTCCGTTTCGAGTTCAAGTTGACGAGTGAATTAGCCTAAGAATAGCTGGTACGAAGATGAACCCACATCTTAGAGGCTAATGAAAACCGACGCAGACTAAGGGCAGTACCCATATCAACCGAAGCCAACAACCAATAAATAAACTGAGCATTACCCGCCTCCCAATCTTCAATCTCCTTAGCAAGAGCCCCATCATTAGGTTTCGAACTTGTCCCATGAAATATAGGCACCAAGCACTTGTCTTCAACAAAGCTTCTAAACTGGAATTCCTATAGAGGGAAATTGGTTCCGTCAAGCTTGGCAGACAAGATTTCAATGCGTCCTGAGTCCATAGCCACGAACAAAAAATAACCAAAGCAGCCCTCCACAAAAAATTAAGGCCGCTAAAAATGAACCTGAGCAGCCCTCCACAAGAAATTAAGGCCGCCAAAGAGGAACCTGAGCTGACGTGAAAACGGAGACCCGCATGCCGCCAAGAACACAGATCGAAAACCACTCGCAAGCAGCTAAGAACACGGATCGGAAAAAAATAAACTCATATGCCGAAGAACCTGAGCTGGCGTGAAAACCTAAGACCCGCAAGCAGCCAAGAACACGGATCGAAAAGGCAAAGTCAGCTGCCAAAGACCTGATCACAAGCAAAGCTGCAACTTCAAAAGTTCACAGCATCCAAAAACGTTCCTACGGGAGAGAATTAGAC